ATGGGCAGGGTAGGAGACAGACTTGAGCATCTCAAACACAGTGGGGAAAGCAGACAGGCTTGTACGTGTTTAGGTGAGCCCAGGGATTCAGGCCAGAATATTTAAAATATGTTTTTTTTTGTTTTTTTGTTTTGCCATGCCCTCCTGGGACGATGGACCCAGATGGCTGGGCAGGCTGTGGCCTGTGCACAGGAAGAGATGGAGATGTTTCTGCGCAGACCTCTCCTGGGCTAGCCCAGAGCCTCTAGCCCAGTCCCTGCTCTGGTCCTGCCTTAGGACTTCCACTGCTGCAGGCTGTGGTTTGGGAAATGAGAGTTTTGGGGGTGCTGTATGGCTTCTAGGAAGTTGAGGAAGAAACCCCTAAATCTCCCTCTTTGGCCTCTGTTCAATAACAATCCTTGGTGAGATCTTGACAATTTTCTGCTCAAGTAGAAAAACAAGGCCTGAAGTCATCATGTTTAAATGCAAGTGGTCTCTGTGTTCAGACTGTTATAGAAACCACAGCACAAAAGATTCTGCAGGCCCCAAGTCTCCGCCACCTTCTTTCCCCTCCAGGGGGGAGAAACCTTTTCCTTTTGCTAGAGGGGACCCTTGCTTTTGGCTAAAAATGCAATTCTGGCCAAATGTAGCGATCACTACTGTAATTCCAGCTCTCAGGTAGTAGGGAGAGGAAGATTAAAAAGATCTAAAGAGAAGTCCGGGGCCAATGGCTCACATCTGTAATCCTAGCTACTCAGAAGGCTGAGATCTGAGGATCGTGATTCAAAGCCAGCCCGGGCAGGAAAGTCCATGAGACTCTTACCTTCAATAAACCACTCAGAAAAACAGAAGTAGCTCTGTGGCTCAAGTGGTAGAGCACTAGCCTTGAGCTGAAGAGCTGAGGGACAGCGCCCAGGCCCAGAGTTCAAGCCCCATGACCAACAATAACAACAAAATCTAAAGGGATAGGGGGAAAGAAGGAGAGGGAGCAGTAAAACCGAAACTGCCTGCTTGGGTTCAAAGCTTAGTTCTTTCTCAGCCCTGCGACCTGGACAAGTTACACACCATTCTGTGTGTACATTGAAGAGATGGTAGGGAGCCTTTTTAGAACATTGCTGGGCACATAGGAAGCACTCTGCTAAAGCTAGCTATTGTGATCTAGGAAGAAGAGTGGGAGAGGGGTTTGTTCAACCCTGGTTCCAACTCCCCAGCAAATGATTTGCAACACATCTTGCAGAAGTGCCTGAATGGGGATACTCTTGGTGGGCTTTTCCCAACGCAGCCCACCCTCACCTGTCTCTAGTTCACCCAGGGGCCCAAATTTGCCTTTTTTAGGTCATGTCAAGAAAATCAGACCAGGGGCTGGGAAGGTGGCTCAGTGGTAGAGCGCTTGCCTTGCATGCATGAGGTCCTGGGTTCAAATCCTCAGCACCACATAAGCAGAAAAAGCCGGAAATGGCACTGTGGCTCAAGTGGTAGAGCACTCGCCTTGAGCTGAAGAGCTGAGGGACAGCGCCCAGGCCCAGAGTTCAAGCCCCACAACCGACCAAAAAAAAAAGAAAGAAAAGAAAAGCAGACCAGCACCTGACCACCACTTGAGACACAGCATCCTTGGACAAAAGATGCAAGGATGTTTGCTTGCTTGCTTTCTGTGCTAGCACTTGAACTCAAGGCTGATGCTCTACCACTTGAGCCACAGCTCCATTTCTGGCTTTTTACTGGTTAATTGAAGAAAAGTCTCACAAACTTTCCTGCTCAGGCTGGTTTCAAACCACAATCCTCAGATCTCAGCCTCCTGAGTAGCTAGAATTACAGGCGTGAGCACTGATACCTCCCCTGTCCCCTCACCATTTTTTTTTTTTTTTTTTTGCCAGTCCTGGGGATTGAACTCTGGGCCTAGGCTCCATCTCTGAGCTTCTTTTTGCTCTACCACTTGAGCCACAGTGCCACTTCTGGCTTTGGCTTTTTCTGAGGAGTTTACTGGAGATAAGTCTCACAGACTTTTCTGCCTGAGCTGGCTTTGAACCAGGATCCTCCAATCTCAGTCTCCTGAGCAACTAGGATTACAGGAGTGACCACTGGTGCCTGGCAAGGGCCCTCTCTTAATGTCCCTATATTTCTGCTTTCTCACTGGTAAAAATGAAAATCCTAAACCCCTCAGGGAGATAAGGCTGGGAAGTCTTCTGCAGCCAGCCTCACTCCCTGGAGCCTTGCCACGCCCCCTCACCTGACTCCTCCCACCAGGATGCCTCTACAGAGCTGGAAGCCTAAGTTCTGATACCTGGCCTCATGGGCTCTAAAGCTGGAAGCTTGGACAAGTGAGTGACTCACACTCTTTGTGAAGATCAGTAGGAGAGCTGGTCCCTGAGCCAGGGCTCACAGGGACTTGAGCAAGCAGTGTCACCTCTGATGACTGACTCCCTTTCCCACAAGCCAGATCAAGTGACTTAGTCATTAACATGAAACTCACCCAGAAGAGCAAGATCTGCCTCCCGGCACTGCATAGCCTCCACAAACTAGGGGGCTGGAGGGCTTCCCATTCTATTTCTGACCCAATTTTTAGGCAAACGGCTTCCAACTTGCTTACTCTCTGGCTATAGGAGGGGAAAGTAAAGACAGCTGAGAGAAGTAGGACTGAGTCCTGGAGTTTTCAGTCCAAGAAAAAGCAGGAATTTCTATACTTCTTCACAAAGGCACTTTGCAGATAATACCTGTGAAGAAATAATCTGTGTAACACAGGAGGCTGAGATCTGAGAATGGCAGTTCAAAGCCAGCCTAGGCAGGAAAGTCTGTGAGACTCTTCTCCAACTACCACCGAAAAATTGGAAGTAGAGTTATGGCTCAAGTAGTAGAGTACCATCCCTGAGTGAAAAAGTGACAACCACCATACCCTGAGTTCAAGCCTCAGTCCCAGAATGACAAAAAAGAAAATCATCATCATCATCATCTGCCCGTCCAACCCCTGACTCCATCTGTGAATTTGGAAACCAGGTTGAAATTGCATCAGGGACTGAGCATTGGAATGTACTTGTATGGCCCTGGGCAAGTGGCTGTATCTCTTTGCCTCTCTACTACCTTATTCTAAGATGGGGTAAACTATAATACTGGTGGGTGACCCTGAGCAAGCTTAACTCTCTGTGCCTTGATTCCCCTTCAGTAAATGAGCCTGGACAGTACCTGCTTGTAGTATGGTGAAGATCACAACACATGCACAGCAATTTCCAGTACCTACTAAGTGCTCAGACAGCACAAATGAGACCAATACGATGAAAACAGAAGCAGGAGGTGTGCTAAGCAGAGCGCGGAGATGATGAGACTGGAGGTTGATGATGCTGAGCTGCTCCCAAAGGAGGAAAGCCTTAGGAGAGGTAGAGCCGATGTGTTGGGAGCTTGAAGGAGTGAGGAGTGGAGGCAGGGTGTGAGCAATGAAGGGATGCAAGCCAGTTTATGGGGCTAGGGTTAAGTAGGGAGCCACAATCAAGCTAAATGTTTCTCAGGCGTGTGTGTGTGTGTGTGTGTGTGTGTGTGTGTGTGTGTGTGTGTGTGTATGTGTGTGTGTGTACTAGAACTTGAACTCAGCATTTTTGCTCAGGGGTGGCCCTCTATTGCTTGAGTCACAGATCCATTTCCAGCACTTTGCTTGTTAATCAGAGATAAGAGTCTCTAATTTTTGTCTGGCTTCAAACCACAAACCTAAGATCTCAGCCTCCTGAGTAGCAGGCTTGAGCCAGTAGCACCTGGCTGTCTCAGTAATGAGGCCTCAGCACTAAAAACAAGAGTGATGGCTTCTTAACTCTCACCTCTGACTTGCAGCCCCACCTGCTGCTACACCTGGCTGTCTTCCAGTAGGGGCAGGATTTAGGGCTAAAGTTAGAGCCAGGCCTGGGGGCGTTCACACAACTGCTTTGAACCCAAATGGGTCAGCTGCATTCCTGTGTTTGAACTCCTGGGCAAACTATTTCTCCCGGTGTTGTGAACATCCAACCAGTAATGGGGTCATCTAGCTGAGTGCTTGGTTCATAGTACATTCTTAGAAGACACAAGTCATCTATCCTCCTCCTGCGGGCTGGGAGGCTCTGTGAAGAGGGGGAGCAGGACTGTGACTGGCACTGACTAAGGACACAGAGGGGAGTGTCCCCCCACCCATCCCCGCTGGTAGGCTGGATGGAACTGAGGACCTCACTTCGCTGGCCAGCGCTCAACCACTTGAGCCGTTCCTCCCGTTGGGCTTTTTGCTGGTTAATTGGAGATGGAGTCTCAGGGCGTTTTCTACTGACTGGCTTCGAACCTCATCCTCCAAGATCTCAGCTAGGATTACAGGCATGAGGCACCAGCGAAGGGACAGAAAGGTTGTTTTTGTGTTTAATTTACCCCCTCATTTGCAAAGGGGCAAACCGTTTGGCGCCCCGGTGGGAGCCCCCCCCACGCCCCTCCACCCGCAATCCCCAGTACCCCGTAACCTGTGACCTGGGTAAAGGGTTCTGAGGGCCGGGCTGGACGCGGGGACTCCGCCAGGAGGGCAGAGGGCACCGAGCTCGGCGCACGTGGAAGCGACGGCTTTTCCTAGCGGGTGAGCCGGAGCCTCCCACCCGGCTGAGGGGACGGACCGCCGGACGAGCGGGCGGTGGAGGTGAGTTCTGCAGAGCCCTGGCATCGGTGGGAGTGTCAGCAGGACTTACGTCGCTGTCCACGGCCACGCCGATGACGGTGCCCTCCAGCTCCGCGGACGGGCGCCGCGTCCATCCCGCCCCCCTCCCCACCCCCCTGCTCCCAGTCAGTCCCACCTTCGCTCCGGCTCGCGGAGCCGCCGGGGCAACACGGAGGCGTGGCCCGCGGGAAGCCCGCCCCTTTGATGTGCACCGGCACCTCTGTGATTGGTCAGTCTCTTGTGACGTACCGAGACTGCGGTGGACCCCAGTGCTGCGGCAGCCGCAGCGCCGGCCGCGGCTCCGGCTCCGGCTCCGGCTCCCGGGCACTTAAAGGGGACGCGGCGGCGGCGGCAGCGGCGGCGGCGGCGGCGGCAGCAGCCCGGGGGAATGGGGGGCAGGTGGGGGGAGCCATCTAGACGCACGTCATCCACGGTCCTTCGGGACTGGAGGGACTCGTGAGCCGGAGCCCAGGAATCCGGGGGTGGATAAAACACCGCGCCCCCCCCATTCCGTAAGCACCCCGAGCTCTACCCTGCACCCTAATACCTTAGCTAGACCCCCCCTCCCCAATCTTTACACTCAAACTCAGCCGGGACAGACCTCTGCCACCGCCGCCCCCACGTGAGTCCTGGGTTCTGGGAGCTAGGGAAAGCTGGGGTCCCAGTGTTGGGGTGGGGGGGACCGTGTGGAGTTTGAGGACGCTTCTTCACAAGGGTGGCAGGCCGGGGAGGGGGGGTTCCCTGGAGCAGAGGTATGAGCCCCTTCCTCCTACCCCAGAAATGTGGTGCCCAGGTACCCTCCATCCCTGACAAAGTCCCCTTGGTCTCTGCCACCCACAAGTCCTCCCGTCTCCCGAGCTGCGCACCCCCCGCCCGCATTAGGGCGAAGCGCCCGCCAGCTGGGGGTGTGCCAAAGTGCCTGCTTTCCAGTCACCTCTAAAAATATCTCCCCCCCCCCCCCCCACCGGCAGCTGCCACCTCTCTGCCCCTACCCGGTGAGGATCCCGGCTCAACTTAGCCACCCAGGCAGGGAGAGCCCCGAGGTGACTCCTGGTCCCAGATTCTTTGTTGACACAAAGGCACAGATCCTTACCACTTAAGAGAGCTCACATCCCAAGGAATCCTCCCGGGCAACAGAGGAACTCCAGCTGGCTTTCCCAGAGACCCCCACAGTTCTAATTCCGACTGATGCTGTGGGATTCCCAAGTTAGCTTCACCTCTCTGAGCTTTTTTTTCCTATCTGCTATTTTCCATGTGCTTGGAAAATGATGGATTGGGGGTGGGGGGTTGTTATCTGGGGGGAAATTTGGCTTAATTGTTGGGTCTGATTTCTAATGATTTATAGTAGGAGACTTGCTCTTAGGCAGACAGGGCTTGTTATTGTGAAGTTCCTGAGTCCTCCTCACTCCTCATTCTCATCCTGCTTGTTTCCTGTGGAAAATTGTCCCAAAACCTTTGTAGGGCCTCCGCCCACCCATTCAGGGAGGATTTTCAAGCTTTACGGCTTATGCCGAAGAGGAACCTCTTTCCCTCCCCCATCCCCAGGATTTAAACTAAGAGCATTTGTGGCCCTGCCGGGAGGGATGGGCAGGAATTTGTGGTTCCACCTAGGAGTCAGAGACTGGAGGGATAGGTAGGTGGGAAACTGTGATTCCAGGTGAAACCAGATGTAAGAGCATTTGTGTCAAAACTGGGAGAGCCAGGAGCCAGTGGTTCCTGCCTGTAATCCTAACTACTCAGGAGGCTGAGATCTGAGGATCTCCTTTCAAAGCCAGCCCAGGTAGGAAAGTCCATGAGACTAGCCTTGAGCTGAAGAGCTCAGGGACAGTGCCCAGCCCAGTGTTCAAGCCCCAGGATCACCACCAACAACAACAAAACGGTTGGGAGGAGTATACAGGAATCTGTGATCCCAGGTAGAGCCAAGGCCAGCAGACACTAATGGTAGTGGGACTGGAAACAGACTCCCTGCCATCTCTAGGAAGACTTTCTTCTCTCCCTGCTCCAGCCTTCAAGAGGAGATCCTACTCCCTTCTCTAAGAGGGACTCTGATCACTCAGGACAAAGCTGCTGGAGGTGAGTAACCTTTCATGTTACAGGAGCAAGCTAGGGACAGGTCCCTGGTCTGCTTGGTGTAGGGGTGGGATGTCAGTGCATGGCTTTCTCAGTTGGAGGGAAGGAACTCCAGGTTGCTTGGCTTTCTGCTCTGGAAATGAAAAGAAACAAGAGCAACTTGCAAACAGTAAGTGCTTAAAATGATTCCCCTAAATACCATTATTAGAGGAAATAAGACTGTTTTTTTACTATGGGAAATGACAAGTTTCGAGCATAATTAAAGATCAGTAAAATGGTCAAAAAACAGGCTGGAGGGTGGGGCGAGGGGATGGGGATCAAAGTACTGATAACCTTTCCTATGAGATTAAAACTGGCCTCAACCTAGTTCGTGCCTGTAATTCCAGCACTGGGGCAGTGACGGTAGGAGCAATTCAAGACCAACCTGGGCCTTAGGGAAAAGAAATTTAGGGGCTGGGAATGTGGCTCAGTGGTAGAGTGTTTTCCTAGCATACATGAAGCCCTGAGTTCAATTCCTCAGTACCACATCAACAGAAAAAAGCCAGAAGTTGCACTGTGGCTCAAGTAGTAGAGTGCTAGCCTTGAGCAAAAAAAAAAAAAAAAGCTCAGGGACAGTGCCCAGGCCCTGAAGCCCCAGGACTGGTGTAAAAAAAAAAAAAAAAGGAAGGAAGGGAAAGGATGAAAGAAAGAAAGAAATTTAGTTTCTGTGTGGCTGGTGGTGAACCTTTAGTATCTTTCTATCTGCTTTTGGTTTCACTGCCTGCTTGACACATGCCTGTCTCCATTTGCTTTTACAATGGGAGTGGTATCTTCTGACCTTTCTCCTCTGACTGCCAGGCCCTAGAACATTCATATCAGCCTGGATTGACTGGGGTCTGACCTGCCTCATTCCCCCAGTATATGTCATTCTAAAGCTTCTAAATCTCCTTCATCATCATCATCATCATCATCATCTCTCTCTCTCTCTCTCTTTCATCCTCCTTTTAATCTGTGTTTCCTCTCTCAGAGCCCCTATTTTTTGTTCACTGCCCCCTTGAGTTTTGCCCTTTCCTCTCCTGACTTAATGTTCTTGGGGAAAAGACCCATATTTCATCTCTATGGACAATTATTTGTGTGCAATCAGGGAGCAGGGAGAACGGAGACACCTCTGGAAGGTTTCCAGAGCTAGTGTCCTGTTCCTGGGATGAACCAAGCTATGTCCCAGCGAGACTCACCTTGACAAAGTCAGAGGGGTTTAAAGTGTCACCCATCTTCACCACCAGAGGGCAGCAGACAACCAGCTCTTTGCTACTTGATCTCTTGCCTCTCAGTTTCTCCCTTTCTTTCCCAGCCGTCTCTGATGGCTCAAAGGCCTTTGGATGGAGAGGTGGAAGAGTTCAGAAGCATGGAAAGCTGTAGATAATACCCTTTGTAGCTGCACTGACAATGGCCCCAAGCAGTGAAACCTGGTCCCCAAAGTCATACAGCAAAATCTGGCAGATTTCAATATGAAGCTCAGTTCGGCGGGACCCTGGAAAGCACTGGGGAGGACCAGTCCTAGATCAATTGTAAACACATGGCCTAGGCCAAGAAGAGAGTTAAATTCTCTGCTGATCTTATAAGAGTGATGAGCAGAGAGAGAATACTAGTATAGGGAGCCGGTACACAATGATGGAGCCTATACATACAAGGGTACTGATGATACTGGAGGAAAAAGCCTGGGGACTGGACCTCTTAGATCTGGTCTGAATTACTGTGGGAAAGTGTTTGAGCCCATCTCAGACTCCAGTGGTGCCATCTGTAACCTCTCCAGCATGCTTGGGGACCATATGCTGATGCGTAGTGCTTCCTGGTCTGTTTCAAATCAAGAACTTGATTTTTCTGAGACCCTGGTTATAGGGTTTTTGTTGTTTTGCTTTTGTTTTTGTGCTGTCACTGGGGCTTGAATTCAGTCCCACGCCCTCACTTGGATTTTTTTCACCTGAAATGGGGTCTGTATCAACTTGAGTCACACCTTTGCTTCTGGCTTTTTGCTGGTTAAATGGAGAGAAGAGTCTCATGGATTTTTCTGCCCAGATTGGCTCAGATCTCAGCCCCCTGAGTAGATATTACAAGAGACATAAGCCACTAGCTTCCCACTATTGCTGAGACCCTGGGATGGAACCTGTGGTTTAGCAGAAGAAATAAGACCAGGTGGGCCTGGATGGTAGAAGCAAAGCCACCAGACTGGACACCTTTACATACACTTTTATGGTTGTTAGGTGCTCTGGACAACAGCTGGAGGCCAACAGAGTCCCTAGACGTGGTGCTCAGGGTGATGTACTGACAATGAGCGGGTGTTTTCCAGTTGCTGGCCTCCGATGCCTGTCTAGGGTAAGTGGGTCCCTCTAGGATGAGGCCTGTGCCCCCACTTTTCCAACATGGGGTGGAAAGAGCCCATCCAGCCCCCTTGCAGGTTTGTCCTCCCCTCCACTGGAGCTCCACCAATCCCTGGAAGCGCCCATCTCAGGGGTGAGGTCTAGATGCTTTACAGCCTCAAGTCCCAACCCCTGAGACTCCCAGTGGGTTGTTGGTGAAACCACAGGATGACTCTAGATATGAGAGGGAAGGGACAGTTCAGTTAGGGAGACAGGAAGCCAGGTTCAAACCCCAGCTCAAAAATGAGGAGCTTGGACTTCTTCCGTTTCGCAAGGTTGCTTGGCCTAAGAATATTAAAAAGTGTTGAGTGAGTGAGTCCAGGTCTAGCATCCATCTCACGAACTGGGGCATACAGCTAGGGCAGAGGGGAGAATGGCAGCAACGGATATTTCTGCATCCGCACAGATGTGTCTGCCCTCCTATACAGCCATTGACAAGCATAGGTGGCAGGGACGTGCAGCTATGGGCTCCTGCTGTCTCCATATGCTTGCCTTTTTTGTCCCCTGATACTTCCCTGTTGTCCCCCATCCTCTCCCATGCTGCCCTCCTGCACCATTCCCTTCTGAACATGAGACCCTGGCTCAGGGTCTCATTTCCTGGACCCCTCCTCCCCTTTCTTCCTATCTGACAGTCTGATTCCACTCTCCCCTAACATGAAGACTTCCCAGCATCCTCTCCTTTCCCCACTCCCTTCCTCCCTCTATCTCTGCTTTTTCAGCCACCGCTGCTGTCTCTCCTCTCCCTTACCTGTCTCCCAGGTTTGCCGTGGCCTGGTGGGGGCTTCTACCTCCCCAAGCCCCACTGCTTCTCCTGCTGCTTGCTTGCTTCGGACTCTGGCAGAAACCATGGCAGAAATCCCAACTGCTGACTCGTTCCTCCCAGGGAACTGGCAAGTGATTAGTGACTAGCTGTCAGCACAGGACTGGAAAAGTCCCTGCAGATGTTACCTGTGTCCTGTCCCTGGTCCTCTGCACGGTACCAACCACTTTGTCTGGCAACAGCTCCCCTAAAGAGGCTTCTCTGGGTTTTGTGTGGTTGGCATACCCAGAAGGCTTGGCATTTGCTGTCCACAAGCTTTGGATGGTGCTAGGAGCCTTTGCTGGAGCCTGGGTCTGTGTTGACTACTGCAGCCTGATAGGCCATTAGTCCAGCAAAGACCAAAAGGAGAATAAGCTAACTGGTTCCCTCTATCTGCCTGTTAGAGTGAGTGGAGTGTTCCCGACACCCTTTGTGCTCACCAAGCACACAGGCCACCGGAAGTCTCCCCTTCTGTCTAGTCCAGGAACCTCCCAGAGGCCTGGCTTTAGGCCTAGCATGGTCCCCCGCCCCTGGACATCAATCCCAGTGTGGTTAACTGAGAGATAGCAAGAAGGGTCCGGTAGGGACAGCACGGGGGGTGGGGGGGGTGGGAGGGACTGGGGAGGGGGCGGAGAACTGCTTGCTCCTCCAGCGTAACCAGCCCTTGGGTCCTCCTCAGGTCTTCGACGGGCCAGCACCCCTGGCCGAGGCCCGCTAACCAGCCTCTCCTCGGCCGGCTCCTGCCGCGCCGCCTCTCGCTTGCCCCCTCCTCCTGCTGCTTCTCTCCCCCCTGCTCCCAGGACGGCGGGATGGCGGCGCAGGGCGCGCCTCGCTTCCTCCTGACTTTCGACTTCGATGAGACCATAGTGGATGAAAACAGCGACGACTCGATCGTGCGCGCCGCTCCGGGCCAGAGGCTGCCCGAGAGCCTGCGCGCCACCTACCGCGAGGGCTTCTACAACGAGTACATGCAGCGCGTGTTCAAGTACCTGGGTGAGCAGGGCGTGCGGCCCCGGGACCTGCGCGCCGTCTATGAGGCCATCCCCCTGTCGCCGGGCATGGGCGACTTGCTGCAGTTTATAGCCAAGCAGGGTTCCTGCTTCGAGGTGATTCTCATCTCCGACGCCAACACCTTCGGTGTCGAGAGTGCGCTGCGTGCCGCCGGCCACCACGGCCTCTTCCGCCGCATCCTGAGCAACCCGTCGGGGCCCGACTCCCGGGGACAGCTGGTCCTGCGGCCCTTCCACACCCACAGCTGCACGCGCTGCCCGGCCAACATGTGCAAGCACAAGGTGCTCAGCGACTACCTGCGCGAGCGGGCTCGCGACGGCGTGCACTTCGAGCGCCTCTTCTACGTGGGCGACGGCGCCAACGACTTCTGTCCCATGGGGCTGCTGGCGGGCGGGGACGTGGCCTTCCCGCGCCGCGGCTACCCGATGCACCGCCTCATCCAGGAGGCGCAGAAAGCCGAGCCCAGCTCCTTCCGCGCAGGCGTGGTGCCCTGGGAAACCGCCGCCGACGTGCGCCTCCATCTGCAACAGGTGCTGAAGACGTGCTAAGGACCGCCGCCGCCTGCAGGGGGCGCTCGAGGCGCCGGCGCGGAGAAGGGCCCGGGCCCAGCGGGAGGGGTGGGGGAGTGGGAAAGACAAACCTAGTTTTACCATTCCCTCTTCCCTTTCGCTTTGCTACGTCCCTCCGGGAATTTCTGGAGTTTTGTCCATGGGAAGGGGCGGGGGAGGCTGGGCAGGGGGGGGAAGGGGCTGGGAGCGGGGTTCGGAGCGGTCCCTATCTATGCAGTTACCCCAGCTCGGCTGCCGCCTCCCCGTTTCCACTGCAAACGATCAATCCAGGAGTCTGGCCCAGCGAGGGAGTGGCGTGCAGGCCTCTAGAAAGGTAGCAGTGTTTCCCAAATATCCTGTCTTCCCAACTTGGAGGAAGGGGCTTGCTGGAAGGTGCGAGAAGGAACAGCTCCCACTGCTTTTAACTGTTGCCTTGGCCTGTGTAACCTCCCCTCCCCCAGCCTTCTCTCCAAGAGACCCAGGATTCCCCCCCACATTTGCAAAGCCGCACACCAGACTCCCCGGCGGCTGACAGATGACAGCTCCAGGCCTCCTAGATCTTGCTTCCGCCACTGCAACTCCACCCTATTGCTGTTCTTGCCTCACCCTCGGCCCCCAGCCCATCCCACCAATACCCCTGAGCCAGGAGGAACCATCGTTTCCTGGTATCCGGACGAGGTAGCACACTATCCACCTCACGTTTAAGGCCAACCAGGGACCTCTGAGCGTGAGAGTGTGTCCCTCGCACCCCAGCCTCGTCTATGCAGCAAGAGACCAGGGATTTCACCAAAGTCGTCCTCCACGCCCCTCTCCTCCCCTATGGAACCGAAAGCCATGATGTTTTTAAGCAGAGCCAGGGAAGCCCAAGGTCCTCTTCCCTCTGGTGTTTTTAAACCTATAAAAGGAGGTGAAGAGGGACGAAGTGACTGAGCTCTCTCGCGCCGTGTTCTGAGTGAGATAACTGTTTTTCGAAACTCCATTTAAGTAGGGGGGGGGGGAGATCTTCAGCTTGAGGAGCCAAGACTGAATGCAAGCAAAGGGCTGAAGGATAAGGAACAGCCAACGGCTGCTCCAAATGGGGATAGTTGCAAACGGGTGGTGATGGTGAGATCTGGAACCCTCCATAGGGCTCTACTTAGCAAGAGCCTTAGAAACCAGATGACTTGCCACCCCCACACCCCACCCCCACTCTGCCCTTTTAGTCTTGCAGGACAGTCATTTGGAGATTATCAGCGTTTTATTGCCAGCAGGCACTTGCAGGTAGAGAGCCCCACCATGCATGCTGTAGGGACCTCTGGACAAGGTGACCAAACTCCTTGGTCTTCAGTTCTTTCTCACCTGTAGCTGGGCCTCTTCTGTCTCCACTAGGGCCTCCTTCCCATGGCAATAGGGGAAGGAACTGAGCTCTAAGCCTAGAGGTAGACAGGTCTCATCTAGACTTGACTGGAGCTGGCTTTGGTCTGGGGTTCAAGGCTCTGTGGGGACAGTTCCTGAGTTCATGCAGGGAGAGCCCTGGGCGGTCAAGGCAGTTAGCAGCTGGGCTCCACATAGTTTCCTGGAAAGAATCCGGTGCCCTCCGAGCTGACCCCCTCACACCAGCCATCCGAGTAGCGGCGGGTGACACAGATGGTGGTGCCCGCAGAGAAGGAGAGCTCGTTGTCCTTCTGACCGGTGTATGGATACAGTGTCACCACTGCGGGGCAAGAGGAAAGGGTGCCCCTTGTAAGGTGTGCCTCCTGTCCTTATCCAGACAGGATGCAGGGGCCAGAGTCCTGAACTCTAGGGAACCTCTGAGGGTGAAGGCCACAGGGAAGAAGCTTCTTTCAAACCTGGAGGCCCTCCCCAGCTCAGGTAATATTCAATATTGTGTCAGCTTAAGTCAGAACTCCATCCGGAAAAAGTGGGGCGTCTATGTTCACCTTGGCAGCAGGAAGAGAAAATACATCTGAGGGAGGTAGAAAAGTTGGGGGGAGGGACAACAGAGTCTAGAACCCTGGCAACAAGATCTGGTGCCCTTTTAGTCCCACAAGTCCGGGTACCTTTCTCCAGGTATGCAGCAGGGACCCAGCTGGGCTCGTCGCTTCCAAAGCCTGGCGGGGGCGGGGGCAGCTGACTCAGTTCGCTGTCATCTTCCAGGGCCGGAGGCGGGGGCAGGTCCAGGGGCGGGGGCAGGTCCAGGGGCGGGGGCAGCTCTGCGGGAGGGGGGTAGGAGGAATGCAAAAAGTCTGCCCCTGTGGCACTGGCCACGCCCACATAACGGTCGGGACCCTGCTCGGCTGGAGGAGACCCCAGGATCGGGCGATTTCAGGCAGTGTCCCTAGGACACACCCATCCGGGTCCTCCCACAAGACCTCCATCCTGTGGCAGCTGCTCAGAAACCTTGGAGGGGCAGCTGATTAGCTGCAAGGTCGGAGCCTCAGCTGCTTAACTAAGCAGGAAGATGATCTGAAGGTTAGCCTGGCCCGGGTGGCTCACACCTGTAATTCAAGCTACTCGGGAGGCTGAGATCTGAGGATCACAGTTGGAAGCCAGTCCGGGGCAAGAAAGTCCCCTGAGACTCAACCAGCAAAAAGAAGAGGTGAGGTGAGGCTCCAGGGGTAGAGCACTAGTCTTGAGGGGAAAAAAAAAAGCTCAAGGACCGCGCCTAGGCCCAGAGTTCAAGCCTCAGTGCCAGAAAAAAAAAAAAAAAACCCAAAAAGTTGTTTGAGACGTTGCCAGCACCAGCCTGGGCTGGAATAGGTACCAAGTCTTTAGTTCACCTTTGGTGGCTCCCAGGACCGCCCCCTCCAGGGTGGGCGGAGCTGAGCCCCGAGGAGGGCGGCGGGGGGCGGGGCGTCGCAGGTGGAAAGCGACCGCGCCTGCGCAGGGGCGGGGGGGGGGGCGCCCCTTACCTGGCGGGGGCGCAGACAGCACTTCCAGAGGTGGAGGAGGCAGGAAGACTTCGGCGGCCACGGGCGGCGGAGGCGGGGCTGGGGGTGCGGCTTGCCCCTTGGGTTGGGGGACCCCTTCGGCGCTGCTGAAGGCCAGGGCAAAACCAAGTTGAGGGGCACGGCGTGTCCCGGGGACCCCGCCCGCACACGCGGCGCCCCGCCCCCAGTGGTGTCCGTGGTCGCAGGCCAGGGGACCCCCATCTCCACCCCCCCCCTGCCCCCCGCTGCCCAGCCACTTGGGCCTGCAGCGCTCACCCGGCCGAGGTCAGGGAAGAGGCGGACGAGGCGGACGAGAGTTTGCCGTCGGGCACCACGGGGAGCTGCACGGGCTCGGGGATCCGGGGTGGTCTCCTGGGGGTTCGGGGCGGAGGGAGGAGGTGGGGTGAGGGAGCGGGACGGTTCGGGGGGCAGGGCTCAGGTTCGGCGAGGCGGGGCGGCTGGTGGAGGGGCATCTTTGGGGCCAGGCCCCCAGCTTGGCTGGGGCACCGAGAGCTGCAGGCCGGGGACGGATGGGGACAGTCCCAGGAAGGGCGGTTTGGGTGACCCACGGGGCCGTACCCCAGCGTGGCGGACGTAGGTGTGGCAGGCGCCTTGATGCTCTTGCGAGACAGGGTCCCAGTCCGGGACAGCTGTGTGCTCAGGTCCTGGAGGGAGGGGTGGGAGGGCCGGCATCTGGAGTGGGGGAGGACAGTCCCCCACCCCATCCAGAGAGGAACTAGCGGGGGGGGGGTGGAGGGGGGGACAGGGGCAAAGCAAGTTCCCACTTCCCAGCCCCCGCCGCCTCTCCTCCCTCCCCGCCCCCTCCCAGCCAGCCGTGTCGTGGCGAGATGCTGCGGGCACAACCCACTCACAGTCTGAGGGCCACTTCCGCTGCACAACCACAGCGTCTGAGTGAGCCCCTCGGCCCCGCCCCTCCCCCAAACCGGCTCAGACCCCCAGAGTTTGCATGGCTGGATGGGGCTTAACTTTCATTAATCCTCAACCCAAGCCTGAGCTGAGGGAAGTGGGGAGGAGAAGCATGACTTCCAGAAACCCCACCTGTCATTTTCAGAGACCTCAGGGAACTGACTCCGCCCCCCCCCCAGCTGAGGGTAGAGAGAAGCAGGGCCCAGGATCTTAAGGGGGAACTGTACGAATGATAGGTCGAACCCCATGTTCAAGAGGCCCCTCTGTAACTGATGTTCTATGTGAGTCAAGACAAGCCCAAGAGGACTTGAACTGAAGCATACAGAATTAAGTTGGGGGTTTGGTAGGTAGCTTTGTGGTAAACCCTGCGTGCTTACCAAATACAGGGTCCTAAATTCCATCCATAGCACCACACACCCACAAAGTAAGTTGGGCAAAAGAATTTACTGGTTTGGGGCTGGGAAGGTGGCTCAGTGGTAGAGTGCTTGCCTTGCATGCATGAGGCCCTGGGTTTGATTCCTTAGCACCACATAAGCAGAAAAAGCCAGAAGTGGCACTGTGGCTCAAGTGGTAGAGTGCTAGCCTTGAACTGAAGAGCTGAGGGACACAGTGCCCAGGCCCAGAGTTCAGGCCCCACGACCGGCAAAAAAAGAATTTACTGGTTTGGAGACTTGGTAACTGAAGAAAGAAGTCTAATTTCCTGGTGAGTGTGGGGGCTATACGTTAAGAACATCAAAGGGGTCATATAGATACTGATCTAATCTGGGAGGTATAAGTATGGAGAAGGGAACTGACATGAGTTGGGGGTGCCTATCTCCCAGGAGACAGGCTGAGAAGAAAGTGCCAGAGTCATGCGCTTCACCATATCCCTCTTGTGTGCCTGCAACCTGCCCCTTCCTGCCACCAGCAGCTCTCGGGTAACTCTCAATGTAGTGACCTCAAACCACCAGACAGAGGAAGTTGCTGTTCTCATGTGGCTGGGGAACCATTCCCATACCCACCCTGACGTCCTCTCTTCCCTTTCACACATACACCCACGGGTGCTCAGAATCTCACTCATCACATCATCTGAATATAGGGTAAAGACCAACTTTGGGGGAGGGCATCACAGAAGGATGAGATCTGAGGGTGGAGGGGGGAAGGGTTCAAGATGATGGCTTCTGGGAATGAGGAAAGAAGGGTTGCAGGGTAGAATGCAAATATGAAGAACAGATCCTTTGAGTCAGGAGAGTAGGTGAGTAGTGGGGAAGAGGGGCACCCTGTACCTTGATCCCATGGCCAATGTCATCCAGGCAGCCAAAGTTGAGGGGTCTCCTGTAGTAGGGTGTGAGTGGAGGGAGAGTCTCAGGAGCAATGACCTTCTGGCCAGGAGGCAGCCGCTGGACGGTGGCTAAGGTACCAATCTCCCGTCTGGCCACCTTCTCCATATGCATGTTTACCATCTGTGTGACAGGGTTTGAGATGACAGTGGGGAGGTGGTGGAGTCTGTGTCCAACACCTTCCCTTTAAGAGAGGAAGAAGACAAAGGCTTTGGGGTGAGGATGGGGCTGTCGGAGGCAAAGATGTCCTGAGAGTGAGTTTTGTCCCTTTGGGTACCTAGCAATTGGGAAAGAGTAGCAGGGAGGATGGAACCACTTTGGAGCAACTTCCTAGTGCAAGAGAATGATGGTTATTATTAGCTGAGCAGGAACAGGAAGAAGGAAAAAAAAATCACAATGTCCCTGGGGATGCTGGGAAAGGATTGAAGGACCTGTGGCAGGCTCTGGAGCAGAGGTGGGGGTCACAGGGCAGTGGCATTGAATATAGCTGGATCAGCTCTCCCCTTCAGGGTACAAATAAGTGAAATGAACTTCCTCTTGGAATGTTCTATAGAGAAGCCTACAGTGCTATGAAGTAAGAGGAAAAGACACCCCCCACACAGGTGATGATGCATGATTATACTAAGTGGATAGTTGGACCTGTGCGTGTGCTTTAAGAGGCAATCCCTCGGTCAAGGATCCAGGAAGGAAGGCAGAGGGTGTGTATATGAGAAGGAAGGGGCTCTTCGTAACCTGCCAAGCAAATACCCTAAGTGAAGGAAATTCATTAAGACCTCGTTTCTATTTCTATGTAAGCAGGATCATTTTGCATATCCTCTGTATTAGTAAAGAATCATAAATCACAGATAAAATTTTCATATGTCCAGGGAGGCATTCAGAGGAAAAAAAAAAATATATATATATATATTTAAACTGCCTTCAGGGAACTCTTAATGGAATGGGGCAGCAAGTCCCCTGTCTAAGACACAGAGACAGGAAGACCCCAAAAGTTTAAGTGGAGCAAGCATTACTAGCTACTCTGGAGGCTGAAATCTGAGGATCATAGTTTGAAGCCCTCCCAGACAAACAAATCTGTGTCTCTTATCTCTAATGGACCAGGAAAAAGCCAGAAGTAGAGAGTTGTGGCTCAAATGGTAGAGCACCAGCCTTGAGAAAAAAAAATCTAAGAAACAGTTCCAGGTCTGGAGTTCAAACTCCAGTACCAGTGCGCTCTGTCTCTCTCTCTGTCTCTGTCTCTGTCTCTCTCTCTCTGTGTCTGTGTCTCTGTCTCTGTCTCTGTCTCTCTCTCTCTCTCTCTCACACACACACACATACACACAGAGCTTAAGTGAAGTTGGGCAAGCAGACATGGAGAATAGCATGAAGGGGATTTTGCTGCAGAAAATGACTGAGTGAGCCCAAATAGTTGGGGGTCAACACAACACACCTTCCCACCCCCTTACCTGGCCCAGAGTGCTCACACGGGCTTCCACCTGCCGCAGGGCAGCCCCCTGTAGGTCCAACATGCGCAGAGTGTGCCCAGCCAGGTTGCCCACCTGGTAGGCCACACTGGCCAGAGCCTGGGTGGTGAAGGCCATGGTCTCCTCCAATGCCTTCCGCTTGTCTGTGGCCTGAAATACACACAGGCCTGGTTAGAGGCCAGCACATTCCACTGGGGCCTTGGCTGACTGGGGTGGAATGGGAAAGGACCTAGAAATGGCAGGAGCTGAAGTGGGAGGAAGCAGCAGTCCCTCTTAGAGGAGGTTTCTAGAAAAATGATATAGTCAGAAGACTCGGGCCATTAGAAAAGCGAGTTTGTAGCCTCGAAGGCAAAGCCACCACTCCTCCAATAAAACCCTTACTGCCTTCCTGAGGACTTGAGCAACAAGGAGCTATTTGGGGGTTATAGAATGCACAGTAGAAAGGAAAGAGGAAGGTATTGCTAGTTGCAAACATTCTTAAAAGCTAAAAGCAGAGTGACATTGTCCAAGAAAAAGTATACACACTACCTGATTTATGTAATCCCTCTTTGCATTACCTTATAATAAAACAAAAAATAAAAAAACAACCAGGTGCCAGTGGCTCACATCTGTAATCCTAGTTAATCTGAGGATCAAGGTTAAAAGCTAGCCTGGACAGGAAAGTCTGTAAGACTTTATCTTCAATAAACTACCAAAAAGCTAGAGGTAGAGTTGTAGTTCAAGTGGTAGAGCACTATACTTGAGCATAAAAGCCCCGAGTTCAAGCCCCAGGTCTAGCACATACATACTCAGAAAAAGGAAACACTAAAAACTAATATACCCCAGACCTTCAAATTGGTGTCTCCTAGAGTAATACAAGAAGTCCATCCTGGATGGTTCTCGGAAGTCTCTGCGCTTCGTTTAACCTCATCTGCAGGTTGGTGTTTGGACATTCACCTAAGGGAACTGTGGCCCAGAATGGGGTTACTTCCCTCACTCATTCTGTCCAATTCTCAATGTGCTGAGAATAAAATCCAAGCTTCTGAACATGGCAGCCTCACATACAGACCATTCAAGTCTGCCTTCTAACTTTCTCTTCACTCATTCCCTGCCCCCACTCCCTTTACTTAACCCCCTTCAGCTGTTCTCTTCCTGTACAAACTAGATGATTTCTACCTCCCAGCCTTTGTATTTAACGGTAGTTCCTAGAATCCTTTTCCCTAGTAAGTTTCAGCTTCTCAGCGAGGTCTTCCTTTCTCTAACCTAAGCTTCCCCCTGGCCCACCTCTCTGTTGCTATCATAATTACCCTGATTTCTTTTTTCTTCACAATCTTTAGCACTATCACACATTTATCTATTTACTTGTTTTAGTGGGGGTGAGGGGAGGATACAGGTGCTTAAACTTAGGGACCCATACTAGGTTAAAGCTCTACCATTTGCTAGGTTCCCAGCCTATTTGCTCACGCCTATAATCCTAGCTATTCAGGAGGCTGAGATCTGACAATCAAAGCCAGCCAGCCCGAGCAGGAAAGTCCGTGTGACTCTTAACTACCAAAAAACCAGAAGTGGTGCTGTGGCTCAAGTGGTAGAGCGCTGGCTTTGAACTGAAGAGCTCAGGGACAGTGCCCAGACCCAGAGTTCAAGCCCCATGACAAAAAAAAAATAATAATAATTGCATACATTTGTCAAGGCTGGACTTGAATTGGGATTTTCCTACCTCCACCTCCCGAGCAGCTCGGATTACAGATGTGAGCTACTATATTCAGCTTCTGTTTAACTTCTCTATGTCATCTATTCTTAGCCTCTTCACAAAAAAAAAAAAAAAAAAGTAAATGCTGTGAGAGTAGGAAGTTTGTCTGTTTCACTGTGTATCCTAGCCCAGAGCAGTGCTCCCCACATGTAGAAGACATTTAATAAATATGCGTTTGAGGATTGGTTAACAGATTGAATAGAAACTGAAATCTTTGCTGGGCATCATGCTACTGCATTCCTGACGCTGGCTGCGTCACACTACTGGTTAGTAAAGGAGCAGTGGGTAAGGAGTGGCTGAAGACAAAAGAGGATTTTTGTCAGTTCCAGATCAGAATGTGGGGGCTGGGGCAAAACTTCTCTGGTGTCTTTGTTCCCCAGGCAACTTCCTCCTCCCACTTGAGCTTGCTGCACTCTAGGCTGTACCTTTGGGGGGGGGGGGGGGGGGGATAGAGGAGAGCCAGGACAACTCAGGCCAGGACCAGTGTAGTTACGGACAAGACTGCACTCTGGGATCTGCTTGCCTGGGCCTTCAGGTGTCCCTCAGGATCTGTCAGGTGTCCTGAGCAATACCTGGAGGCCTCCAACCTAGCCTGCCAGAACCTTCTGGAAAAGCCATGTCATGGCTCTGACTTTCCTGACTTTCTGTTCCAGGAAAGAGATGTTCATTTGCATGTTGGGTTATATCTCTTTCTATATACCCAACCATTTTTGCATATCATCAGTATATGTCACCAAGAACCTTGAATGGGAGAAAAAAATCAATTTAGGAGATTAAGTAAGAAAAAAAACAGTAGATCTTGTTCTAGTTCAAGATCTTCCTTTAGTAAGTAAAGGAATAGTCTCATCTTCTGGACCAGAAAAGTGTATGCTTAGGCCCAGTCCTGGATGCCTGGATGTTTTCTGATTCTGGATTTGGTCTTGGATCAAGGTTAGGTCTGGAGGAACAGAGGATCTGGGATCCTTCATCTGGGCTGATGGCTTGTTCATTATGCAAATGACTGTCTGCAAACCCAACCAAGCTTGACTGAGAACCCTGTAGTACACCAGGCTGCCTTCTTCTCCCTTTCCTGACACCTGGTTGAGATAGGAGGGAGAGGTAAGACCAGAAGACCCTCAGTAAGGCCAGGTAGCTGGTTATGTGGTCTGGTTGCTTCTTCTGTCAAGAAGAAGCAGGAATCCTGGGATTCTGACCTGTGTGGTTTTGTCACTTGGCTAAAGTAGAATTTTATTGTCTTCATGAGACCTGCCTCCCTCTGATGAACAAAGCACCAATGATGCTAACTTAAGGATGCCTTCTTAAGGACCAGGACCCAGACTGCTTATTACACTATCACATTTAACTCCTGTCTACTCTGGAAAAGGTGTAAGAATCAAAGAGGTTGTAAGAGGCCAGTGGCTCCTGCCTATAATCCTAGCTGCTTAGGAGGCTGAGATCTGAGGATTGTGGTTCTAAGATAGCCCAGGCAGGAAAGTCCATGAGACTTTAATCTCCAATTAACCAACAAAAAGCCAGAAGTAGCCAGGCACTGGTGGCTCACGCCTGTAATCCTAGCTACTCAGGACTCCGAGATGTGAGGCTGGTGGTTTAAAGCCAGCCTGGGCAGCAAAGTCCATGAGACTCTTATCTCCAATTAACTACCAGAAAGTGGTGCTGTGGCTCAAAGTAATAAGGTGCTAGCCTTGAACAAAAAGAGCTCAGGGACAGTGCCCAGGCCCCAAATTCAAGCCCCATAACCAGCCAAGAAAAAAAAAAAAGGCTGGAAGTGGGGTTGTGGCTCAAGTGGTAGAATATAAGCCTGGAGTAGAAAAGTCAAACAAGAGAGAGAAGCCCTACGTTCAAGCCCCAAGTACCAGCACACACACACAAAAAAAATCAGAGATGAAACTTGCTTGTAGTTGGTAGGTGGCAGAACTGAAAATGGAACTCAGGTCTTCATGACCACACACCTTGTATATGCCAACGAGAAATGACCCCTCCACAAGCCCTTTGAGATGTATGGAAACTTGAAGGAACAGAAGGGCCTGCTTCCATCCATGATCATGGGAGCATGCCTCTCAGCGGTAGGCCAACTATGCAGGCATGCAGACAGCCCACCAGCTCCCCTACAGGCTGCTCATTCAGCGTCCGCACAGACCAAAGCTACACTCAGTCTAGCTACAGGTTTAGAAAGTGTGCTATGGAGTCTGAATTTTGGCTTGAATCTAGGCTCTGCCACCATCTTGGTAAGGTGAGTTACCTTTACCAAACATCAGCTTTATTCTGTGGTAGGAATAGCACTGGCCTCACAGGGCTGGGCCAGGAAGGAAGGAGCCATGCAAGAATACAGAGCACTTTGTTATTATTATTATTGTTGTCATCGATGCTCTTTAATCTGCCATATCTCAAAGGTACTTGCTACGCTTTTCCCCAACACTCTTATGCTAGAAGGTCCCTGGTGTCTTTAGTTTGGTTAGAAAAATGAAGTTTTGGGCTGGGAAGGAGGCTCAGTGGTAGAGCGCTTGCCTTGCATGCATGCGGCCCTGGGTTCAATTCCTCAGCACCACATAAGCAAAAAGAAAAAAAAAGCCGGAAGTGGCGCTGTGGCTTAAGTGGTAGAGCGCTAGCCTTGAGCTGAAGAGCTGAGGGACAGTGCCCAGGCCCAGAGTTCAGGCCCCACGACCGGACCCCCCCCCCCCCCAAAAAAAAAGAAAAGAAAAGAAAAATGAAGTTTTAGAAAGCTGGAGCTGGGTGCCAGTGGCTCATGGCTGTAATCCTAGTTACTCAAGAAGCTGAGATCTGCGTATTACGGTTCAAAGCCAGTTCAGGCAAGAAGTTCAAGGCCAGCCCAGGCAAAGTTAGTGAGACCCTATCTCAAAAATAAAATTTAAGTGAAGTTTGGCTCAAGTCTCTCTCTCTCTCTCTCTCTGTAGCTTTTAGAGAGAGAGTCTCACTATGTAGTCAAATGGCCTCAAATTCATGATCCTCTTACTTCAGCCTCTGAGTGCTGAGGGTTACTAGTGTAAAGTACCATACCCAGCATAGTTTGTCACTTTAAGAGAGGAAAAAAAAAATGGATCTGTGGCTCAAGTGGTAGAGTGCCAGCCTGGGGCGGGGGGTGGGGGGTGGGAGGAACGCAAAGCAAAAGCATAAGACCCTGAGTTCAGGCTTTAGGACCAGCATGAGAGAAAAACAGACAGACAGACAGACAGAGACAGAGAGAGAAAGAGAGAGAAAGGAAGAGGAGGAAAGAAGACAAAGAGTGCAGATAGTGTCTTTAAATCGCACATCTGGGAGACAGAAAGGAGAGGAAAGATCTCAGGAGGTCTGGAAGCAGTGAGGCAGGCTGCTCTCAGCTGAGTGAGCCTGGACAAGTCCCTTCACCATCTGAGCTATGGTTTTCATATCCACAAAATAGGAGACACAATAGTTGTTTCATGAGGCAGTTGTGGGATTCATGAAAGCACAGGGGTCTCTGGTCATTTACTTCCCTGCTCCCAGGCCCTGATTCAGGAATCTGTCCCAGGACAGACAGATTCTGGGACAGTTCTGGGACAAACACAAAGTTTAAATCACACGCAACAATAACAACAACAACAACTGTTCTCCAATGCCACTCTCCTTTTCTTTTCCCAGCCACCTGCTCCCAGGAATCATGTCATAAATCCCCTGCCCCTCCGCCAGACCCTTTCTCTGTAGTCCGATAGGCTGTGACTTCTCTCTATCCATCCTTAAGTACCAACCAACAAACTCCTTTCCTTTTCCTGTCTTGAGTTTACAACCATGGGAAGTTCTTCTGAAATCTCTCCTAAATCCAGCCTGAAAATGTAATGGTGTCCAGGCACTTTGAGTCTCTGGAGTGAAATGCTCTGTGAGAGATGAGCCTGGCTGACGCTAGAGACCAGGCTGGATAGAGGATGCTGCCTGGCTGGGTCCTCTGAGACTCCGGTGGAGAATGGGCTTTGCCAGCACTTGGGTAATATGGGATCCGGGCTAAGTTTGGGGGACCAGGATGAAATCAAAGCCTGGAGTGGGAGGGTTTTTCAGCTAAGCACCTGTCAGGTGGCCTCCCTGGCCCTGCCTAAGGCTCAGCAGCACAAGGGTCCAGCACCCCTCTCCCCACCCCCCATCATGTCCTGGCCTGTGCCCTCTCCACTTACTTTTGCATAGTTGTCTTCACAGTAGTCAGCCACCCTCAGCAAGGCCCTGTGGTTGCCCAGCAGAGCCTCCCGGCCCGTGGGAATCTCAAACTCTTGCAACTGCTGTAGCTCCGCCATGGCCCCCAGCCGCGTTGGGCTCCCCCAGGGGAGCCTCTGGTTTTGAGCCTCACCCTGCCCTTGATTGGTTGCCCTGCCTCCCCTCCCTCTTACTGCTTTTGGTTTCCTCTTCGTGAGAGACCCAAACCTGCTTGCAAAGGGCAAGCATGCTCATTCTGAGACAGGAGGAAGTCCCTGCTCCCTGGGCCTGTGCCTCTCTGTCCTCTGCCTAGAGGAAGGGGGAAGCCAGTGGCCTGTTTGGGGGCCCAGCCCCCAATCCCACCCAGCAGAGGAAGCCAAGGTCGGGGCGGCTGTGATTGCTCCCTGATCCTGGAGAGGAAACTGGTTGGTAGGGGGGTGGGGGGAGAGACTGGGAGGAAGGGGTTGGCCTGCTATGGTGGTGGTGGGGGGGGGTGTAGATTTTCCACTCATGGAAGAGGGGAGGAAAGGACAGAGGGTGGGGGCTTCCTTGGGAAGCTCGGGGATGAGTCACGGGAGGGGGGGGCGGGAGAGGGGAGTGGAGAGTGGGTAGGATATAGAGATCAGTCATTCTGAGAGCACTAAGGATTAGCAAAGCAACAGTGAAAAACAGCCCGGCCAGCAGCAAGAAGAATCAGGGTTAAAAACTAGGAAGGTAGTGTCCAGAGATAGTTTCCAGAGATTCCCTAGAAAGGTTCTTAGCAAGCCTGTGAAGCATCAGGTGTGATGCAGGGCTGTTCTACAGAGCCTGTGTCTGGCAGAGGCAGGACAAAATGAAACTGAGCCAATTAATGTGAGGACTGAGATGGAACAGTAGGAAGGACTTGGATTTGGGATGTTACCAGGTTCAAATTCCAGGCTCAATGGCTGTTTTTAGGCAGCAGTGGTGAACAGAACACAGAACCCAGCTAAAGTGGCCTGGGCTTCAAAGTTCATAAATGAACAGGAGGGTTGAAGTTGAGGATTTGTGGGATCTTGTCTTGATTTCCAATTCTTCCAGCTCACAGCTGAGAATGGGACTTAGTCCTGAAGCAAGGGATGAGCTTAAGGCCTCCTCCTGCCCTGCCTCCAGTCTCATGATCCCAAGAGAGGCCCGCGCTGACCGCAGTGGTCTCTCAGCACCGGCTCCTTGAGAGGACCCTGGGTTATTGGGCCAGTGTCAGCCAGAACATTAGTTTATGAGTGCTTGGAGAGTGAGCCAAGAGATTCTTGTAAGGCAAAATTGTGGGGATCCAATGGGAGAGGCCAAAGACTCAGAAAGGGCAATTAGATGCCCATCTGAAACTTGTTCCTGGGAAAGAACAGCCTGGGGCAGGCTCAGAGGTGGAGGAAGACAGTTGAGGGGAGTGTGGGGGCTGCAGGGGGACCTGGGGAAATAGCAATCTGGAGGTGGGTCACTAAAGGGAGGGACTGCTGCAGGGCAGGGATGGGGGGGGGTGAGGGGGAGGTCCATTTCCTTCTTTCTGTCTTTGGGGGAGAGTGTGGGTCTTTGTTGGAGGTGGCAAGGGCTCCAAGGCTCAGGAGGTAGCTGGGCTTACAATCATGAGCCTGTGATCAGCTTAGCTTCAGAGATTGGGGTTTACAGACCATCTGCTTTATCCGAAGATTTCCAGCTGACAAGGAGCTAGGAGGCTCACACACCATCTTGCCTGGGTCCTAGGCAAGCGAGTTGGACTGCGTGCTCTTCCTTGGCAGGTGAGAGGGTTGAGGGTGCCCTGGGTGGGGACCTAGACTAGTCTTAGTATTACTGAGGTTAGCCAGGCCTTCCTGGTTACCCCCAAAAGACAATAATAACAATATTACTCTCAGCAATAATAACAAAAAATGTGCTGGGTTCATTATATGTGAAGGGCAGTATTTTAGACTATTTCATATGCATCACTTTCTTAATTTTCATAATAATTGTGTGAGGTAGATACCACTGTTATTCTCATTTTGCAGATGGGGAAACTAAGCCTCAAGAAGGGTGAATGACTTGTCCAGTACAACCCAGCCAGGAAGTAAGAGAGTTGGGGTCAGAGCTAGAGTCTGGCCAGTTCCAGAGCCCCTGAGGGTAGACCAGGTGACATTCTCCTCTACCATACAACAAAGAAAATGTCTATCTGGGTCATTATGCGGAATTGCCTTCCAAGAAAGCAAGCCTTGGCTGGGAATGTGGCTGAGTGGTAGAATGCTTGCCTAGCATGCATTAAGCCCTGGGTTTGATTCCTCAGTACCACACAAATAGAAAAAGCTGGAAGTGGCACTATGGCTCAGAATGCTAACCTTGAGCAAAAGAATCTCTGGGACAGTGCCCAGGCCCTGAGTGTAAGCCCCAGGACTGGGAAATAAAAAAAAAAAAAAGCAAGCAACCCTTCCCCTTTTTGTTTCTTCCTGTTTCCTCCTTAGAGAAGTCCCTAAACCTTGGCAAAGATGGTGCCTACCCCATCACACCAGGGCACCTCCTCTCCTCCTGAGCCTAGAGCACAAGGTAGAGATAGAGCGAAGACAGGGGACCTGAAATGACAGATGTAGCAGGGAAGACGATGTAAGTAAGGATATGGCCCAAGGCTGGTGGCTCAAGCCTGGAATCTGAGCAACGCAGGAGGCTGAGATTTGATGGTCATAGTTGAAAGCCAACCTGGCAGAAAAGTCCATGAGACTCTTAACTCCAATTCACCACTAAAAAGCTGAAAGTGGAGCTGTGGCTCAAACGGTAGAGTGCCAGCCTTGAGCAAAAATGCTAAGGGACAATGCCCAGGCCCACAGTTCAAGCCCCAGGACCAGGAAGGAAGGAAGGAAAGAAAGGGAGGAAGGGAGGGAGGGAGGGAGGGAGGAAGGAAGGGAGGGACAGAAGGATGGTAGTGTGGTAGGAGCGGGAAGAGCTGATGGTTTGGGGTCCTTCTGGGACCAGGTGTTTCCAGGGCAGAATGGCCCAGGATCTCAGGGAGAAAGAGCTACTGAAGATGGAGGTGGAACAATTGAAGAAGGAGGTGAAGAGCCCCCGAGCTCCGGTAAGCCTCCTCTTCCTTCCCCTGTCTCCTGTTCTCCATGTCTTCCATCCTGCAAGGAGGGGGTGGTGGGCTCTTTCTAGAGCAGCAAGCAGTGCCTCTAGGAGGGGGATGAGATGCAGAAAGACGCTGGGGTCCCCTCTACCTACCCAGAGGCAGGAAAGACCTTTGGAGCCAGAGAGAGCCCTGTGGATTCTGACTCATCTCCAAACTAGGCTGGCCAAGCGTCCCATAAAGGTCAGAGCTCATGTCTGAGGTGTCAGGCTAACGGTCTCAGCTCTCATGCCTGCGTGTCCCCTTCCTCTCCTGCTTCTTTAGCTTTCATTCCTACTCTGCCCAGAATCTCATTTTCCTGCAACTGGCCAAATCATAGATTCTGAGAAATAAACAAAGGCTGTGAACAGATTTTTGTGTTCTTGCAGATTTCCAAGACAGGAAAGGAAATCAAGGATTATGTGGAGGCCCAAGCAGGGAATGACCCTCTTCTCAAAGGCATCCCGGAGGACAAGAATCCTTTCAAGGAGAAAGGCACCTGTCGGATTAGCTGATGGCCCAGAGCCCTTAGCCCTGAATATCGGTCCTTCATCAGCCAGGATCAAATCCTGGGATACCCAGGATCTTCTCTTATTGCAATGAGTAAAGATGCCAATGAAAGCCTGTGTATCTATTCACAATCCACTTTAAGTTCTTTCCTCCATCCATCTCCCCATCTGCGGGATCACCACAGACCCCACTTGAAACACTCCAGGGGAGCTTTGAAAGCTTACCAGGTGGCATATGGGTTGCAGGGAGGGAAGAGCCTGAAATACCTAGCGGACAAGCCTAAGAAGTATTCTCTTGACTGGGCACTGATGGTTCATGCCTATAATCCTAGCTACTCAGGAGGCTGAGATCTGAGGATCACAGTTCAATCAATGCCAGGCAAGAAAGTCCACGAGACTCTTTTCTCTAATGTACCACAGAAACCTGGAAGTGGTACAATAGTGACAATAGCCTTGAGTGAAAGAGCTCAGGGACTGCACCCAAGCTCTTAGTTCAAGCCCCCAAACCAATAACAACAACAAAGTATTCTTTCTTTCTAGATCTCCATCTTTGTTCTCTGCTCCCTTGCCAGAAGGGAAGAATTTCCACAGCAGGGAAATGGGGCTAGAGGGTTGCCTCCCCCACTTCATGTGCTAGCTATCTTCTTCTTAGCCATTATATCACCCCAGATGGTCTGATGACAAAAAATTAGTTTGTAAAGTCATGATTTAATAGTTTATTTAATATTGATGAATGTCTATTATGTGCTTGGCACTAGAATGCAGGAGTCAGCAGGACTACTTGGTGGAGATGAAACTATTTTCAATTAAGTCAGTAAAATGTAGCTGGGGGGCTGGGAATGTGGCTTAGTGGTAGAGTGCTTGCCTAGCATGCATGAAGCCCTGGGTTCTATTCCCCAGTACTACATAAGCAGAAAAGGCCTGAAATGGTGCTATGGCTTAAGTGGAAGAGTGCTAGTCTTGAGCAAAAGAATCTGAGAGACAGGGTCCAGGCCCTGAGTTCAAGCACCAGGACCAATAAATACACACACACAAAAATGGAGCTGGGTGTGGTGGCTCACACCTGTAATCCTAGCTGTTCACGAGGCTGAGAACTGAGGATTGTACTGCTTGAAGCCAGCCCAGGAAAACAAAGCTGTAAGACAAAAAATATGAGACCCTTTCTGAAAAATTACAAAGTGTGAAGGACTAGAGATAGTTCAAATGATAGAGCATTTGCTCAGTAAGCTCAAGCCCCTAAACTCAAAATATCATTACTGCCAAGAAAAAAAAGGAAAGGGAAGGGAAAGGATGGAAAGGGAAAGGAAAGGAAGGGAAGGGGGAAAGGATTGGCTGTGAGTGGGGTCAAGGAAGAGATAGATTAAAGAATTCTTTGGGGAGGAAGTGGCACTGTAGCTCAAGTGGTAGAGCACTCGCCTTGAGCTGAACAGCTGAGGGACAGTGCCCAGGCCCAGAGTTCAAGCCCCACAACTGACACAAACAAACAAACAAGAATTCTTTGGAGAATAAAAATCCAAGGTGGTTTCTTTTCTCTCCAGTACAGGGGTTTGAACTCAGGGACTTTGAACTCAGACTGACTCAGCTTGCTTGTTTGGCTGGTGCTCTACCACCTGAGCTACACTTCCTGGCTGATTATTTTGGAGATGAAGTCTTGTGCACATTTCTGTTCAGGATAGCTTCAAACCAGATCTTTCAGATTGCTGTTTCCTGAGTAGCTAGAAGTACAAGCATGAGCTACCAATGCCTATCAGTGTTCAAATCTTGGTATTTCACTGAGGGATGGGTGAGGCAGGGTTTTCTAGAATGACATCCAAGTTTTTGGTCGGGAAACTTACTGTATGAGATTGAAGGCAAATAGCTGCAAAAAGCCCTAACTATATAGCAGAATCTTACACACAGCTACAGACTCAGCTTCCCTTCCCCACCAGGCCACAGCGCAAAGGGACACTAAGAGTGAGGTCAAGAGAGGGCATTGGTAAGAATCCAGGATCTTCAATTCCCCTTCTCATCCTGGCCTCATCTCATCATTCTGTACCATGGAGTAAATTCAGCCACAATCAATATACTACACTCAAGAGAAGGAAAAGAGGACTGAGAAGATAAAATATTCAATACAACAGTTCTTATTTCATAAATGAGGAACAGTAAATACACAACATGTTCCTTCAATAAGAAGGAGAAAGAGGCTGGGCACCCACAGCTCATGCCTATAATCCTAGCTACTCAGGAGGCTAAGATCTAAGGATTGCAATTCAAAGCCAGACCAGGCAGGAAAGCCCATAAGACTCTTATCTCTAATTAACCACCAGAAAACTAGAAGTGGAGCTATGGCTCAAAGTAGTAGAATGCTAGCCCTGAGTGATAGATCTCAGAGACAGAGCCCAGGCCCTGAGTTCAAGCCCCACAACCAACTAAAACAATCAGCCCAACAAAGAGAAAGAGAGATGGCACTAAAGCCATAGGTAGCCAAGCTTCCTTTAGCCTACCCTCCCCTACCTTTGTTCTGTCTATAGGGAGAAATTCAGCAGTGGGGTTCTTGATCCAGGCAGGTGACTAACCTTTCTTCCTGAGGAGGCTGAGCCTTGGCTGGAACTCTGCATAAAGGAGCACTTTCTCCAGCTCACCTTTTCCGATCCCTTTCTTGGCCACACCCAACTATAGTTAACTACCACAGGAGTCCTTGAGCCTCAGGATTGGTCTGTCTGAATCCCCTTCAGAATGTTTTTCTTTTCTTTTTTCTTTGTTTCTTTTTGTGGGTCATGGGGCTTGAACTCTAGGCCTGGGCACTGTCCCTCAGCAATTCAGCTCAAGACGAGAACTCTACCACTTGAGCCACAGTGCCACTTCCTGCTTTTTTCTGCTTATGTGGTGCTGAGGAATTGAACCCAGGGCCTCCTGCATGCAATGCAAGCACTCTACCACTGAGCCACCTTTCCAGCCCCCCAGAATGTTTTTCTAATGCACCACTTCCACTTAAAGGAATCATCACATTTGTCCTGGCAGTGTTCATGGTTCCTTCTAGTGCTCCTTCCTCACACGTGCAATCCTCAGGCTAGCAGTGACAGGAGGAAAGACACATTCTGACAGGGGATCATTGACAGGATCCAACCTGTCTCATTCCAGAGGTCCTTGAGAATTTTAGCCATGAAAGAAAAGCCCAGTGTGTTGTCTCTGGTTCAGTTCAGAGCACAGCTGGCAGCCTTTTGAAGGCAGCTCACCTGGGGTCTCCCAGCAGGGCTAGTGGCATCACATAGGGCCTATACCAGAGAAGGCTATCTGTCTGTCTGTCTGTCTCTCTCTCTCTCTCTCTCTTTCTCTCTCTCTCCCTCTCTCTCACTCACACACACACACACTTGACTTCCAGCTGTTACACACATGATGCCATTGATGGGCCCTGCCATCATTAGCCTCTGCCCTTCTTTTTTTATATTTTATTGTCAAGGTGATGTACAGAGGGATTACAGTTACATATATAAGGTAGTGAGGGCTGGGAATGTGGCTCAGTGGTAGAGCACTTGCCTTGCAAGCATGAGGCCCTGGGTTCGATTCCTCAGCACCACATAAGCAGAAAAAAAAAGCCGGAAGTGGTGCAGTGGTTCAAGTAGTAGAGCACTAGCCTTGAGCTGAAATGCTGAGGAACAGCGCCCAGGCCCTGAGTTCAGGCCCCACGACTGGATCCTAAATAAATAAATAAGATAGTGAATGTATTCGTTGTTGAACTTGTTACCCCCCACCCTCATTTTCTCGCACTTTCCCTCCCCCCGACAATTCCATCTCCACCCTTAATTCTTCTTTTTACTTCAGTGGTTTTATTTTGAAATAATTTCAGATATGCTGAAACATTGCAGAGTTGCCAAGTAACAGAGTTCCCCTCTACCCGTCACCCAGCTTTCCAATGCTTGTCTAACCATCATACTTTTTTTTTTTTTAATCAATACAAAAGCTTAAACTCAAGGCCTTCAGTTCTTGCTTGGCTTTTTCTGCTAATGGCTGGCACTCTATCACTTGAGCCATGCCCTCACTTCTAGCTTCTTACTGGTTAATAGGAGATATGAGTCTCTCAGATTTGTCTGCCCAGACTGGCTTCAAACCTGCACCCTCATATCTCAGCCTCCTGAATAGCTAGGATTACAAACGCAAGCCACCAATGCCTGGCTAATCATCACACCTTTTCTTAAAATGGAGAGATTGGTACAATGCTACAAACTAAACACTATACTTTACTTGGATAACCCCAGCTTTTTTCATTAATGTCATTTTTCTGTTCAAGGATACACACTGCATCTAATACTTTAAGATAAAGAGCCTTTGGCTACAGCAATACCTTTGGTTTTGTTTGTTTGTTTGTTTGTTTTTTGTCAGTCATGGGGCTTGAGTTCAGGGCCTGGGCGCTGTCCCTCAACTCTTCAGCTCAAGACTAGCACTCTACCACTTGAGTCACAGTGGCCACTTCCGGCTTTTTCTGTTTACCCAGGGACTCATACATGCAAGGCAAGCACTTTACCACTGAGCCACCTCCCCACCCCCGAGGTAGCAAGATCTAAAGTAGCATGGCTGTCTATGAATGTCTATGAGACATTCCATGAGCCTACAGATGTTAGTATTGACCAAGACACAACACAGAATGCCCACCAAGTTCCTGAATCAGAGCCTAACCCAGTGAGCTGCCACCAGAGACCTAGCTGGTGCTGGCACTCTACAAGAGACTTAGGGCTGTTGCTGACTCACTGGGCAGTGGTGGAAGTCAGCTGGCCACGAGGAAGGGAAGTTGGTTCTACCCAGGCATGATCTCTAACCTACTTCTCTGGCTCCTTGGTTTCATGAAGCTTGGTCAGCCTCATGGTTATCCTTATTAAGGGTTGAGCCTCTTCTGCATATGGCCGGCTGGGAAACCCATGGCATTATTTACCAGCCGTGAGCTCCTTCTCAAAGAGTCCAGCCACAGCAGCTCCCTCAGAGACCATTCGGACCATATATGTTCCAAGACCTTGACCATCTGGCCTGAACTTCTGTGGCTTCCAAGAAGTCAGAGAAAAGGGAGTTTTTATCTTTTTTATTTTTTTGCCAGTCCTAGGGCTTAAACTCAGGACCTGGTTGCTGTCCCTGAGCCTCTTTCTTTGTACTTAAGGCTAGTGCTCTACCACTTGAGCCATAGCATCTCTTCCGGCTTTTTCTGAATAGTTTTTTTTTCTTATTGTTGGTGGTGGTGGTGGTTGTGGGGCTTGAACTCTGGGCCTGGGTGCTGTCCTCAACTCTAATACCACTTCCGGTTTTCTGGTGATTAACTGGAGATAAGAGTCTCATGGGAAATTTCCTGCCTGGGCTGGCTTCGAACCTTGATCTTCAGATCTCAGCTAGGATTACAGGCATGAACCACTGGCCCCTTGCTAAGGGAATTCTTTTATTTGCTGACTTTCAAGGGCCACCCTGAGATCAACAGTTCCCAGAAACAGGAGAAATATTTGGTTCAATCACCTAGATATGATCAGAAGCTGGTCAACTAGGGAGGGAGAGTGAGGATGAAAAGACAAGGAGGCAGTAAGTTTTCTAGAGACTTGATAATATCACAGGTAAGACATTACTAAGGGTGCCTCCTTCTGGTTAATCAAGTTTCTTCCATGCATGGGGGTGGGGGTGAATGGTGACCATACCAGGTGGAAAGCACTCCCTCCAAAGGACTCTATATGACTCCCTTTTTCCCCTTCCCTTTGTGCCACGTTGAGAGGTGATTGATATTACAAACCGCTGGGATTACACAGAGGGTTGTGTGTTAGCCAGGCGCCAGTGGCTCAGGCCTGTAATCCTAGCCACTCAAGAAGCTGAGATCTGAAGATCGAGGTTCAAAGCCAGTCCAGGCAGGAAAACCCTTGAGACTCTGAATTCCAATTAACCACCAGAAAAACCTAAGTGGTGCTATGGCTCAAGTGGTAGAGTGCTTGCCTTAAGCTGAAGAGCTGAGGGACAGCACCCAGGCTCAGAGTTCAAGCCTCATGACCACCACCAACAACAAACAACAACAAAAAGATGGCTGTGAGGGACAGAGATGGGCACCAAGAACTTAGAGGAACATTGGTAGCTCAGAGTGGGATAAAGGAAGAAGGGCCCAGAAGAAGATGAAGTACAGAGGGTCAAGCAGAGACCCAGTCAGGTGATTCTTCATCAGTAAAAAAGAGGGAGAGGGTGCTCGTGAATTTAATTTCTGGATGAAGTAATAGAGAGCCAAATCCTTCTCATGCTTCACATTCAATTCAGGTTTCACATTCTTTCCCTAGTCCACCCAGGATGAGGATCTTTAGGGCTCAGGAGGAGAAGGGACAGCTGATTGGTTAACAAGGCTCTTAACTTCTGTGGACAGTAGCTCAAAATCTTTCCTATTGGATGAGGCAGCCAGGTCCCTCCCACCCTTTGCACTTTCTGGATTTCATCAGAAGTCTGGGTGTGGGAGAGAGAGGGACTCAAGATCATTGTTTCTTTTTTTTTTTTTTTTTTTTGGGTCCGGTCGTGGGGCCTGAACTCTGGGCCTGGGCACTGTCCCTCAGCTCTTCAGCTCAAGGCTAGCGCTCTACCACTTGAGCCACAGCACCACTTCCGTCTTTTTTCTTATGTGGTGCTGAGGAATCGAACCCAGGGCCTCAGGCATGCAAGGCAAGCGCTCTACCACTGAGCCACCTTCCCAGCCCAAGATCATTGTTTCTTGACACACTTTAGAGTTTGGGGAAGAATATGATTAACTTAGTCCACCTTCCCAATTCATCTACCTGAGCCTGACACTGGGGACATGCTCAGGGGACAGGACATTCCACTTGTTCTGTCACCCAGGTCTGGCATTTAGTGGGACTCACACTGGGTTTAATACTCTGTTATTACTACCGTCTTGAAATTTTTACTAGCTCATTTTTGTTTTAAAATAAAGGCTCCAAGCTGGGCGCCAGTGGCTCATGCTTGTGATCCTAGCTACTCAGGAGGCTGAGATCTGAGGATCACAGTTCAAAGCCAGCCTGGGCAGGAAAGTCCGTGAAACTCTTTTTTATTTTATTATTATTTTTTTAATTTTTGGGTCCAATTTTGGGGCCTGAACTCTGGGCCTGGGCACTGTCCCTCAGCTCTTCAGTTCAAGGCTAGCACTCTACCACTTGAGCCACAGTGCTACTTCCGGCTTTTTTCTTTTTGCTTATGTGGTGCTGAGGAATCGAACCCAGGGCCTCAAGCATGCAAGGCAAGTGCTCTACCACTCAGCCACCTTCCCAGCCCCTCCGTGAAACTCTTAAAGGCTCCATATAGTATGTGGCTGGTCCTATAATAAAACAAATACAGCAGTCTGAAGGAGGAGGCGATATGCTTATCGAAGTGCAGGGTGTAAGGTGGGGCTCAAATTAGCACCAAAATGATCCTGCTCCTGGCCCATTTCTAGCATTTCTGATCATTACAGACTAGGAGAGCAAAGTAGGAGGTGACACCTTGCTGGCCCATCTGATTTTTTTTTTTTTGTCAGTCCTGGGGCTTGAACTCAGGGCCTGGGCACTGTCTCTGAGCTTCTTTTACTTAAGGCTAGCACTCTACCACTTGAACTACAGTACCACTCCCAGCCTTTTCTGTTTATGTGGTACTGAGAAATCGAACCCATGGCTTCATGCAGGCTAGGCAAGCAGTCTACCACTAAGCTATATTCCCAGCCTTTTTTTCTTCTAAGTAACAAATGTACTTTTAATTGATTTCAGCTAAAAACTGTTTAGGAAGGACCAGTAATCAATTCTTCCTCTGATGTGTTAGAACCACATCATCCACAGTACTAGAAAAGAAAGGCATGATACTACTTTAGGTTAAATGTGTGGCTGGCAACCAAGTCCAATCTCTTACATTCCATATTTCTTCTTTAGTTCTTCTGCCTTATCAACATAAGCTCTCCTGGTATTTTCCTTGGACATCCCTTTCAGCTGATTCTAGGCATCTCAGTTGGCTTTGCCCTTGAAGTCCAACATCCCAAGCCAGCTCTGTATAAACAGCATCTCACTGTCAGCTGGCTGGGTCTTGAGGTGTTTAACTTCATCAGTAGCCTTGTCAGACTCTGCCTGAGTCATGCCAGCAAGATGACAAGGATCCCCAAACGCCTGAGACCAGAGCAAGGATCAGGCCCATCTGATCTCTTTGAATCTAACAGACCAAGGAAATGGGACTCGTGAGTGACTCAGCACCCACAGCATCAAGCCAAGGCTGAGGAAGCAGAAACCAGCACATTACAAAGAGCCCCCACTCCCATCTTCCCCCCCTTAGAAAAGGGTAAACCCTTCTAATCATGCTAATTCCTGATCAGGCTAATTCTCCACCTTCTAATGCTCTCCTGCAGGCTTCTGTCTATCCCTTTACTCCTTCTGCCACACCTTTAAAGACCCATCACACACACACACACACACACACACACACACACACACACACACACACACACACACACACACACACACACACACACACACACACACACACACACACACACACACACACACACACACACACACCTGGTCCACAGTTTCCTGCAGAGTTTCTTGCCCAGCCAAGGCACGCTGTACTCTGCTTGTTCTAGTGTGTTTTTCAGTGGTACTCTTGCTTAGGATCCTCCTTATTCTCCACTCCCTAGAAGACTCAAGTCCTCTAGGCACCAAGACACCAAAGTCTTTCCTCATGGGGACTCTGATCATCCGACCCCCTACCCCCTCACTATTAATAAGCAGCTCCTTTAAATTTCTTGAGCAATTCATTTGGGGCTTGAAACCTCTTATTTTATGTCCCTCCCTTTTTATTTTTATTTATTTCTTTTCTTTTCTTTTTATCTTCAGGGGGGAACTGGTCCTGGGGCTTAAACTCTGTGCCTAGGCCCTGTCTCTGACCCATTTTTGCTCAAGGCTAGCGCTCTACCACTTGAGCCACAACTCCATTTCCAGCTTTTTCTGTAATTAATTGGAGACCAAGAATCTTTCAGACTTTCCTGCCCCGGCTGGCTTCAAACCACAATCCTCAGATCACAGCCCCCTGAGTAGCTAAAATTACAGGCATGAGCCATGAGCCCAGCTTCTTTTTCTGTTTAAAAAAAAGAGTCTTATTGGGGCTGGGAAGGTGTCTCAGTGGTAGAGCGCTTGCCTTGCATGCATGAGGCCCTGGGTTTGATTCCTCAGCATCACATAAGCAAAAAGAAAAAAGCTGGAAGTGGCACTGTGGCTCAAGTGGTAGAGCGCTAGCCTTGAACTGAAGAGCTGAGGGACAGTGCTCAGGCCCAGAGTTCAGGCCCCACGACCAGACCCTCCCCCCCCCCCCCCAAAAAAAAGAGTCTTATTGTGTAGCTTAGGTTAGCCTCAGCTTCCCAAGTGCTGGGATTACAGGAGAATACCACCATGCAGATTCTTTGTTTAGCTAATTTGTATAATAAATCACAGCTAGGTAAGCATCACCAAGTAATATTTCTCTAGCTCCAAAAACCCCTGCAACTTTGTGACTGAGTGAATAGATACTAAAAAAATTAGGTGGTTGAGCCAGGTGCCTTTAGCTCACGCCTGAAATCCTAGCTACTCAGGAGGCTGAGATCTGAGGATCACGGTTCAAAGCCAGCCTGGGCAGAAAAGTCTGTGAGACTCTTATGGCCAATAAACCGGAAAACCAGAAGTGGCATTGTGGCTCAAGTGGTAGAGAGCTAGCCTTGGGCTGAAGAGCTGAGGGACTGCACAGCCCTAGAGTTAAAGCCCCACAACCAACCAACAAAATATATAATAAAAATAAAATTAGGTGGTTGCAAATTCAAGAGGGCAAAGGGAGAGGCAGTAAACAGTCCTTCCTTCTCTCACCTCTCTTCATCCTCACAGAAAGCAAAGTTTCCAGTTTTTTTTTTAGTTTTTTTTTTTTTTTTTTTTTTTTGGTTGGTCATGGGGCCTGAACTCTGGGCCTGGGCGCTGTCCCTAAGCTCTGCAGCTCAAGGCTAGCACTGTACCACTTGAGTCACAGCACCACTTCCAACTTTTTCTGCTTATGTGGTACTAAGGAATTGAACCCAGGGCCTCATGCTTGCGAGACAAGCACTCTACCACTGAGCCACCTTCCCAGCCAAGTTTCCAGTTTTTGCTGTAACCTTCCAAAGATATTTTATGTATACCCAAGCAAATATATTTGTATGTACTATTTCAATGTGCTGTTTTCTCCTTTCTCCACAAATGGTCCAATCCATGTTATTCTGAGCTTTTGTTGAGATTTCTTTTCACCTAGTTGGATTTCACTTACATTAACATCCATACACACTTCCGAATCTACTACTTTCTGTCTGTATTTTATTGATTTATTTTTTAGGTCATAAGTCTTGAACTCAGGGCCTGGGCACTGACCCTGAGCCTTTTCACTCTAATCTAGTACTCTACCACATTGAGCTACAGCACCAGCTTTCTGGTGGTTAACTGGAGAGGAGTCTCACAAACTTTCCTGCCCAGGGGCTAGCTTCAAACTGTGAACCTCAGATCTCACCCTCCTGAGTAGCTGGGATTACACGTGTGAGCCACTGGAGCCCAGCTTTATCTTATTTGGTCTTTTTTTTTTTTCAATCAAGATTACAAGCTTGGGGCTAGGAAGTTGGCTCAGTGGTAGAGCACTTGCCTTGCATGCCTGAGGCCCTGGGTTTGCTTCCTCAGCACCACATAAGCAAAGAGAAAAAAGCCAGAAGTGGCGCTGTGGCTCAAGTGGTAGAGCGCTAGCCTTGAACTGAAGAGCTCAGGGACAGCATCCAGGCCCAGAGTTCAGGCCCCACAACCGGAACCCCCAAAAAGAAAAAAAAAAAGATTACAAGCTTGGTGGGGAATGTGGCTTAGTGGTAGAGTGCTTGCCTAGCATGCATGAAACCCTGAGTTCGATTCCTCAGTACCACATAAGCAAAAAAAGCTGGAAGTAGTGCTGTGACTCAAATGGTAGAATGCTAGTCTTGAGCACAGAGAGGGTCAGGAACTGAGCCCAGGCCTTGAGTTCAAGGTCCAGGACAGGCAAAAAAAAAAAAAAAGATTACGGGCTCACCTGAAAACAAATTATTTTTGTTATAATAAAAATTTTCTTTTAACAATAACAACAACAAAATAAAGATCGCAAGCTCATTGAGGGCAGGGATCAAGGTTTGGTTTATTTTGTATTTCTAGTACCTCAACTGTAGAGGATGTCGAGCCAAAAAGTATCAGCTGTGCACGTTTTATAATTCATGGGCTTACTGTATGCTAGACAATATTGTACCTACATTATCTCATGTACAACTGCAAAACCAAAACAGACAAGACAGCCTTGGGAAGGGAAGGTACAAATGGGGCTGCACTGGTGTCAGTGTGCTGCCCTCTGCTGGGATCGTGGTTCAGAGACAATGTGCTTCAAAATGTAGCATTTTGGTTCTGCCTTCCAGGGAAAGCCATCTGTCCTCCTTTCCTGGTCCCTTCCAGAGAATGAAAAGCTGGAAGAGAATCCCCAGACTATTATGAACACATTGAGGTTTCCCTCAAGCTACTGGGAATGGTAAGAGAATAGATCAGAAAGTCAGAGAAGCTAGAGCTAAGAGTTTGGTACTTATGGGTTCTAAAAGCAAGTTGGGCTGGTGCAGGTAGCTCACTCCTGAAATCCTAGTTACTCAAGAGATTGAGATCTAAGGATCATGGTTCCAAGCATCTGATATCCAATTATCCACCAAAAAAAAAGCTGGAACTGGAGTTGTGGCTCAAGTGGTAGAGTGCTAGCTTTGATCAAAAAAGCTCAGGGACAATGCCCAGTACCTGAAATTCAAGCCCCAGGATGGGCACAAAACATAATAAAATAATAATAATAATAATAACTTTAGGACCAGTTTTTTTTTTTAAATAATGGGTAGTGTTGAGCTAGATGGGGTTCAGACTGCTAATTGTGTGTGTATGTGTGTGTGTGTGTGTGTGTGTGTGTGTGTGTGTGTGTGTGAGTATAGGGCTCAATTCAGGGTCTGCATGCTGTCCTTTAGCATTCTCAGTCAAAAGCTGGCCCTTTACCACTTGGAGCCAAAGTTCTACTTCCTTTTTTCTTTTTTTCCCTCCCTCCCTTCTTTCCTTCCCTCCTTCCTTCTTTCTTCCTCCTTCTTCCCCCTCCACCTTCCTCCTCCTCCTCCTCCTCCCCCCCTCCTTCTCCTCGTCCTCCTGCTGCTGCTTCTTCTTCTTCTTCCTCCTCCTCCCCCACCCCTCCTCCTCCCCCCTCCTCCCCTCCTCCTCCTTCTCCCCTCCTCCTCCTCCTCCTTCTTCTTATTCCTCCCCCTCCCTCTCCCCCACCATTCCTCCTCCTGCTGCTCCTCCTTTTCTTATTCTTCTTCTTCTCCTCCCCTCCCCCTCCTCCTCTTTCTCCTCTTCCTCCTCCTCCTCTTCTTCTTCTATCTCCTCCTCCTCCCCCACCTCTCCCCCTCCCCGCCTCCTCCTCTTCCTTCTTCCTCCTCCTCCTCCTCTTCTTCCTCTTCCTCCTCCTCCTCTTCCTCTCCCTCCTCCTCCTCTTCCTCCTCCTCCTTCTTCTTCTTCCTCCTCCTCCCCCTCCCCACCCTTCCTCCTCCTGCTCCTCCTCCTTCTCTTCTTCCTCTTCCTCCTCCTCCCCTCCTCCTCCTCCCCCCTCCTCCTCCTCCCCTTCCTCCTCCTCCTCCTCCTCCTCCTCCTCCTCCTCTTCTTCTTCTTCTTCTTCTTCTTCTTCTTCTTCTTCTTCTTCTTCTTCTTCTTCTTCTTCTTCTTCTTCTTCTTCTTCTTCTTCCTCTTCCTCCCCCTCCTCCCCCTCTTTCTCCTCTTCTTCTTCTCCTTCTTCTGTGCCATTCCTAGGACTTGACCTCAGAGTTTTGGCACTGTCCCAAGCTTTTCTGTTCAAGGCTAGCACTCTACTACTTGTGCCATGGCTCCATCTTCAGTTTTTTGGTAGTTAACTGAAGATAGAAATCTCACAGGCTGGGGCTGGGAAGGTGGCTCAGTGGTAGAGCGCTTGCCTTGCATGTATGAGGCCCTGGGTTCGATTCCTCAGCACCACATAAGCAAAAAGAAAAAAGCCGGAAGTGCCAATGTGGCTCAAGTGGTAGAGCGCTAGCCTTGAGCTGAAGAGCTGAGGGACAGCACCCAGGCCCAGAGTTCA